TCTAATGTATGATGGCAGGAGTGGGCGGAGCTATGTATTCTTTGAGTAAAACCAATTGAGTCTAAGACATTACTAAAGGCTACATTGAGGCTATCATTTTCAATGTCCACATGAATGTTGAAATCCCCCACTACAATGACCTTATCAGTATTTAGCACCAAATCAGATAAAAAATCAGAGATCTGATCCAATAACTCAGAGTAAGGGCCTGGTGGATGATATAAAACTACAAACAAGAGTGGTTTTACAGTTTTGCAATCTGGATTAGGAAAACTAAGAATAAGATGTTCAAACGAACTGTAGCTATTAATTGGTAAGGGACTGATTAATAAATCCGACCTCAAGGCCATGGTCTGTTTAGAGGAGCTGATTCTCATCCCAGCTGCTTCACATTCAGCTGCAAACCACTCCAGCGAAAGCAGAAGATCACACTCTGATGAAGCCAACAGGACCACATCATCTGCAAAAAGCAGAGATGTGATCTTTAATTCACCAAAACTGATCCTATCACCTCCCTTGGCTGCACCTAGAAATCCTGGCCAAAACAGTTCTGAACAGGATCGGTGACAAAGGGCAACCACGGCAGTGTCCAACTCCCACCAGAAACAAGTTTGACCTTCTGCTGGCAATGCAGACCAAGCTTTGGCACCGGTCATACAGGCACCATTAGAGGGCCTGGTACACTATACTCCCAAAGTGCCCCCCACAGGGTCCCCTGAGGGATACAGTCGAGCACCTTCTCCAAATCCACAAAACATGTTGGGGTGGGCAAACTCCCACGCACCCTCTAGGTCTCTCATAAAACCAGGAAAGCACAACTAAAAGGCAGAGACGGGCCTATAGCCCGAGATACAAACCTGTTGTTAAAACCGTTTAAATCATCAGTAAACGGGGCATACAATTTAAATTCTGTTTAATTCAAATTTAGTTTGGCTCTTCGTTCTCCATTTCTACTGACAAAACATAAAAACACAATGTGCCTATTACAACACTACAGTAATTAAAAGATGAAAAGCTGTGAAAACATCAAATTTTCGAGTATCTTCGTTTTTGAGTAAAAAAACACTTAGCATTTCACTTGAACAGCATTCAAATAAAACAAATCTGTTTTAGTTTTTATTACCTGAGTTTTAGGATCCTCATGTTGAGAATGATGGAATTAGTCATGTCAATCAAAATTTGAAAATTAAGCACCATTTTGTCATGTTATTGGTATGTTTAGATTTTTGCATGGTCAGGCTGAGATAATCTCATCCTTCTCGAAAACGCTGATTGTGACATGCTGATGTCAAACCATCAGTTCTGCCTCATTTATGTTTGTGTTGTCGTGTAATCCTCTGGTCCTATCTCAGATTATGCTGGTCCATTTTCTATACGTTTTGCCCTTTAAGGCTACTGTTGTTTAAGGAAGGGGATCTCACATAGTGACCTTAAAGAGCTGCGCACCTTTCCTCAAAGAATCGGAGGTTGCGATGTGTAATCTTCGTTGTTCAACTGCATAACAAGTAAGACGATCTCATTCCTCTCATGTTTTAGATACAGGTGGTCTGATCAACCCCATACTGCATCACCTCTGCTTAAACAGTGTTTCACCCAATGTTTCATTTTCTTCTTTGTGGAAAATGTTTTACCCCCCAAAAAACCTTTAAATGTGCTCTAATGATTCTGAAAGTCATGTCTTTTGATTGTAACACCAAACATGGGTGGACAGGTGCAAAAGTAGGATGCTGATTACACGAGTAGTTGTGATTGTACAACTATTTGTGGTAAACTCAGTATTTTCTAAAAACATGTCTCTTTCTTAATAAACCCAGTCATGTAGCCAACCTAAAATTGTATTGACTTATTTAATATCACATTTTATTGTACAGTTTTCAGACTTTCTGCATTGAATACACTCAACAACCATGCATACCTTGCAAGTCCAAGGTTAGACTATAGTCCCCTTTTGGTTTCAACGTTGCTTTTGTTCTTGGTGGCACTAATTTAACTCGATGTTGGAAATATTATTTTAATAGTATCACAAAGTTGCTGCAGATTTGCTGGCTGCACGCCCATGATGAGAATCTCCCGTCTCATCCCAAAGTTTCAGGACTGGACTGAGATCTGGTGACTGTGGAGGCCGTTGGAGTCCAGTGAACCCAAGCTCAGTTAGATGATCTGAGCTTTGTGACTTGGTGCATTATCCTGCTGGAAGTAGCCATCAGAAGATGTGTGGGGTGGACATGGTCAGCAACAATACCCAGATAGGCTGGTGTTTCAACCAGGCACAGCTGGTACCAGTAACAACCACTGCCATAAATGTAACCTAATTTAAAGAAAATAATTAAATTACTGAGTTTCTACCGAGAAAAAACCGACTCAACTCACCTTTAAAAGCTGCCCTGTTCCTCAGCGCATTACATTTTCAGCTGAAACTAAATCACACCCAGATAAAACCTAACCCTGAACTCTATAAATAAGGTTCGGTGAAGTCAGAAGGCCTTTAAATACCTAAAACTGATTTGTCCTTCTGAGAAGACAATAGCTGTTTACTTCGAGGCTCAGCCCCCAGGAACGGCTATTCTTTTAGCTGAGCTGAACAGTGGGGACACCACAACAATATGCCATACTTTGGGGCTTGTATTTGTTATTCATCTGAAGAGACTACAGCTTAATTGCACGTCCCTGTGAAATAAATGTGCTTGATCAGGAGCAGCTGTTGCTACTCTTCAGGATGAGGGAACATTGTGTTATGAGGGCAGCGAATATTAAAAAGCTCTTATGATGGGTTTTATTGCACGAGGGCACAAATTAGCATCTGGTGATCATCACGTCAGCTTCAGAGTACTCAAATCTAATAAAATCCTGATCCACTTGTGCTTATTGATCGCTGTTTTACTAAATTGTACACCGTTTGAGCTGACCATTTGGATTTTTGCAGCACTGCCTTGAGCAATCTGGAGCTCTTGATCCTGGAAGCACCGCTGAAAAGAAATGAAGAATTTGTAAATGCTTGGGGGTGTAAAAGGTGATACTCTGATCTGATATCAGTGGTCAGGACGCTCTGTAACTGCAAGCCCCTCAGGGATCAGATCTATTTATGAAGGCACTTTGTGATCTAACTTTAGAGCCACTGCTCTGGTCTGAATATGGAAACACAGTTTGACACTGAGGAGCCATCATGAGTGGCCATGAGTTATTAACAAATAGCCACTGGAGGTGTCCACTTTGTCTCTGCATTCATGCTGCAGTTACATGACTTCTCAGAAAGCAGCTCGTCTAATTAGTTCACAGAGGAAACTGCAGGAGTTCCTTTAATTTTCTGAAATCCAAACGACAAAAGATTTTGTAACCTTGAATTCGGTTTTATGGTGCGACCAGCAGTTGGATGCTGAGTTAAACAGCTAAAGTTGTTAGATTTTTATTTTTGACCTGACGGAGACTTAGAAAAGACGGAGCAATGTGAGAAAGTGGAGCCTGTGGTAGGAGGACAGGAAAATTCCACATAAAAATTCCTAAACGAGAGGAAAACCAGTGAGTTGGGACACAAAAAAGTACAGTTCAACACATTTTTCTGAACAAAAGCAGCAAGGATTATGGGACAAATTACATGAGGAGACTGAAAACCGTTTACAGGATCAACCCCTCTCGTTCTAAAACTCAAATAATATGACTTAGTTTCCACCAGAGTATTTCAGGAGGGCTAAAAACACCGACGGTGAATTGTGCCATTGCCAGAAAAGAAGAACATCGTTGCATAGCTGGCCTAATTCTTTCCCAGCAGGAAGTGACAGCAGAGAAAAGGGCAGCTCTGGCTGATTTTACAAAGAAAACCAGTTCCAGCCTTTGTGCTACAATTTCATTTCTCTTGTAACATTTAAAACATGACTAGTTTGTTCTGATTGTGTGTAATGTGGGATGTATATAGAAGCATAACTGAGGTAGTTATCACAATCACTGAACAAAAAGGTAGATGTAGGGATTTACACACATATAATTTATATCTAAGAAGGAAAAGGGCTTTGGGGTGAATGTACCTCCATTTCTTCTCTGGGATCAACATCGTGACTCAAACACGTGTCCCTTTATTAAGATGACCTCTAAAAGTGGACACAATTTTAGTACAAAGAAAATAATCTCCAAAACAAAGCTCCAACCTGAGTGTCAGGGTGCCTTTGACAATGTCACTACAGCCCTTCGTGTCTTCACAACCTGGAACAATCTCACCAGTTTTTAGTAACTTTACGATAAAGGTCCATTTATTAACCTTACTTGGTGCTTTAAGGATGCCTTTATTAAGGCTACCATTAACTATTAAGTGTACTTAAGGTTAGTGCAAAGGGCCAAGGGGGTGTCTGCTTAGTGATGCATTACTATGGTTAATAACTTAACTTACATAACTAGTTTATTAATGCTTAATAAAGCACTAAGTAACGTTAAGAAAGGGACCCTTATTGTGAAGTGTTAGCTTTCCTAAAATGGCTCAATCTTTGTAAGGAAACGATTAATTTGAAGTGCGACTTTGTCAAAAACCTCCATAAACATAAAAATACACTTGCTATAAAAGTGGATCAGGCTTTGCCTTTCATGTGACCCCTTGTTTTGTAACAAAAGGTTTGTGCATTTGACTAAATCTAAAAGACTTCAGCCTATTCCTCTTAGAAGAATCATTTTCCATGTTTGAGTTTCTCCAAACAGCACATTTCATCATCACCTTTATATTTGAAATACCTTTAATCTTAAGTTTGGCTATTCTGACAAAAGTGTAAAAGAATTTGTCCTTGGTTACCATCTCTGAAACCTCCAGTGCTGTGATTGAACACCGTGTCCCCAACCCTTTAACTGTGTAATTTAGTCAACCTGAACATTAAAAGTGAAAATTAAATGATGCAGCACAGCAGTCAGCACTTTTTCCTCTAACAAGGACCTTCAGACTCGAGTCCAAATAAAACTCGAGTAGCGAAAACAACGTTTCACTGTGAGAGCTCGGCTTGAGGCAAAGACGAGAATAACAAAAATATTTGCCAGTAATCTTTATTTTGGGAGATATTTTGTAGAACAGGGGGAACCAATGATTACAAAAAAGTCCATAAGTGTTCTACATGCTACACCTTAACCTAATTCATCATGCTTGCCTGGAAAAAAGTACATAGAAATTTAACAAAAGATGTACAATTAAAACTGACAAACATTATACTCGCCATTAACTTTACTTTTGATGTACCTTTCTGTCGCCTCCATGCTCGCATTTTTTTTCCCGTTTCAACACCTGGATTAAAAAAAAACTTAAGACTTTTAGGCGCTTCTTTCAACCACAAGTTTTCCCACTAAAGATTGAACGCAACTATATTAAAAAAAAGAACGATACCCAGAAGAACAATATTGATGGAAAATGGAAAGCTTCAGCTTCTTTTAGAACTGCGGAACACTTGCACATCCTTTTAGCGCCGAAATGAAAATGGAAGTTTGTCCAACTCTTCAATAATCACATCGACATAACACAGTTTCATAAAATAAATATCGCACATCTGCTAGAAATAAATAATGATTACTGAAACACCTTAAATGAGAGATTCTTCTCGGCGACCACTTCAATTCATGGTATGAGGATGGTCATGTGTGTAAAGCACTAGTGCGCCTTTGAGCGTCTCTCACGGCTGTTACCTTGAGGTAGATAACACATTTACATTTTAAACACCTACGATAATGGTTGCTGCTGGCATCATGTGTCAGATTTACAGTATGAAAGGGTTGGTAAAGGAAGCTTTCTTCAGGGAAAATGATAGTCAAAAAATAAAGACCCCACACACCCCTCCATTTTCACCCCTTGTGTAGATATTCTGAAACAGGAAAAACTGCTTGAAAGTACTTTAAAAGCCCACAGCAATGTTAGTCCAACACCTCGTCTCATGTCACATCAAAATAAAACAGTAAATAAAACGAACCACAGCCAAACCTCATCTCACGAATCCATCTACAGTACTTAGGTGTGCGAGTGACATGCCAGATTAGCAATGAAGGCGTAGACGCTATCCCATAAAGGCCAGGTGATCAAGGCTTAGAGTGATGACAAACTCCTTAAATATAATAAATCAACTCCAAGAGAGAAAAAAACACAATAAAAAAGGTATGAAATGATTCAAGTACAACATACCATATTATAAAAAAATAACATAAAACAAAATAAAAACAAAACTGCCTACATTTTGCACTGAGGGAAGATATAGATTTTACTTTAATTAAGATGCTTGAAGATGCTGCTGTAGGTTTTGTGAGCGATTTGTGGAGAGCATTTGACAGCGCAAGGTGTGAGGGAAGCCTGGATGGATTTTAGAGGCAAGTCATCGGGGCTGTCAAAGCCAGGCAGGGCCAGAGTGTCCAGCTGCATATTAAACACAATCTCTGCACTACTGTCCAGGAAGCCGTCATCCAGCTCTTTCACCACTGAGGGCTCCATCTCAGAACTGGTCACAGTCTCTGCAACTCCCTCCTCTTTGCGGCTGAACAGGTGGTCCAGGTAGCTGGTGTAAGTGCTCTCCTTCTGGAAGTGGTCCACGTTACGAATGTCCCAGCATGCTTCATCTATCAGACATCCATTCTCCCCGACTATTTCCCCGGAGCTGAAGTTTTCCCAGGGCTTAGCGGGCCAAACGCAGTCTGCTGCAACAACCCCTAAACCACCTCCGCCTAACTGGGCAAGGTTTACCAGGCACTTCTCTTCCTTCTCCTGACTTATGGTCTTTGATACGGAGCTGGGGCGAGGAGCCTCCAGCTGGGAGACAGAAAAGTTGAGCTCATTCAGAAGGCCTACTTCGCTGAGCAAAGTCACCTCCTGACAGGGCTCAGGTTGCAGGCTCAGTTTAATGGTGCTGGCAATGAAGGAGTCAAAGTCAAAGCCTTGGTTCTGTTGACTTTGAGGTCTTTCGGTCTGGTGTTTTTCTTGTGCACTGTCCTTCTCTGCATGGCTCTGGGTCTTCTCAGCCTCCTTCAGAGCAATCTGGGCTTTAACAAGCCCATTCTTCTCACACTTGCTCTTGGCCTTGCGGTCTGCCTTCTCCTTGCTCTGCTGCTCTTTCCAGTTGGAGAGGTCGATGATGAGCTTGGGTTCGTAGTAGTGGTTGACTTCACTGTCCCTCCAGATGAGGTTGTCCAAATAGGAGGGTGACACAGCCTTGTAGTTGCAGGTGTGGCTACACTGCACGTCACAGTATTTATTCTCATGATGGTCTTCCTGCCAAGATCGCTCTGATGGATGGCGACTTGAGTAATCGAAGGATGGCTCGTCCATAAACTTCTCTCGATCTCCATCGGTGTATTTCCGTGGATCAATCTGGATGTAAACAACCAACCAACTCAAATTAGTAACATAAAAAAGGCACACAACTAAAAGTCTTTACAAGGACCTGGGGCCACCGGGTCCACTCATCGAGATCTACCATCATTCAAATTTTACCACACGCCTGATTTAAATGAAGGAGTGATCAACAAGCGTCTGCAGAACTCAACATGGTGAGGACTAGGTGGTGATTAAACCATTAGACTCTGTTGCTGAAGCAGGAAACGTGTAAAACACGCAGCATTGTAGTCCTTGAAGATTGGAGTTGAAGGCCCCTGACATGCATGTTGACAAAAGAAACATACCTGTACTTCCTCTTCATCTGTGACATCAGAGAGAGCTCTTGGATCAACCTGAACTTCATCTGGGTCATGGGTGCTGTGCAAGTGCCAATCAGCCTCTGAGAACTGGCTCTCGTGGTATCTGTTACAACATGGAAGGAGGACAATTTAGTCAAACAAAACACATCGAATGACAAAAAAATCTGATAACAGTAAACAATGATATGTTCTCATGGGTCAAAGTTTAGATTGAAGACAGCAAAGCAAACAGTTACACCCCCCACAACTCCCTTCCTTAAAAAGGCTAATCTTATATTTCTATGTGGTTCGTATGAAATGGTCAGACATACTGTTCCCAGGTGTGGCTCTGGCTCTGATCCATGAGCAGGATATCATCTACTTCATCCTCAATGTGAAAGGGGTGCAGAGAGACGGGCTCATCCAAGGGGAAGGAGTAGTCAGCCATATAGGGGTGGGCCAGGGCCTCCTCTGCAGTCAGGCGATCCATGGGGTTAAAGGTGAGGATCTTCTCCAGAAAATCCAGGGCTGCAGAAGAGGAAAATGCAATTGTTTAGAGCAAAACAGAGGATCTGATGCATGAAGGATCTCACCAGACCACCTTACCCCCAACTCTGAAAGTTCTTTTGAATATATAATGTTGAGCTCACCCTGTGGACTAATGTCAGGCAACAGCTTGGCCAGCGGAGTGTGAGGCTTTGACATGTCACTGCGAATGAAGACAGGGATGACGCTGTGGAGCTCTTGCCGATCCTCCTCTCTCAGAACAGGGATGGATTCCAGGATCAGCTGCATTTGCTCAAGCTCATGTGCTCCTGAAACACCAGACGTTGGGTCGTTTCTTAGAAAGGTTACACAACATTCATGACTGAGAGGGTTTAGAAAGTCTAAAAGTGGCAGATCATGGGAGTAAATATGCCTCGTGCCCAGCTCAGGGAGGGTTTACCTAGCTTCTGCTAGATTTGAAAAAGTGAGCACTAAGAATAGTGAAAGCAAAACTGTGCTTCATCTATCTACAATCTCACCTAAACAGATTTAAGCAGGCAAGACAAACACACGCCTCAGACCAGTGCTACAAATTTACCTCTGACTTACACAAACAGCTTTAAAAACACTGTTCTTCTATAAGTTTGAAGACTGGATGCTAACACATGAATCCAAGTCAACATTTACCTGCAAAGAGTGTTTTCCCAGTGAGCATTTCAGAAAAGATGCATCCAGCCGCCCACATGTCGATAGCTTTGGTGTAGTTGTTAGGAGACAGCAGCAGCCGTGGAGATCGGTACCACTTTGTGACGAGACCTTCAGAGAGATGGCCCTGTGTCAGCAGGAGACAAGAAACATACGAGCCTTTGTTAAAAGAACAGTGTGATTCAGACATATTACACTATCTTTGGTTTCTCAGCAACCACTCAGTGATTAAAGTCATAAGTCTGCTGTGGGCCTCAAGCAGCAATGGTGATGACCATTTCCCCCACTAATTACCCGGTTTTCAACACAACAATAAGATCGTTCAGTTTTTTTAAGCAGAGTTAATTATCAGCAGTCAGTCTTCTGCAGCTTAAAAAGCTCCAAATATGATCTAGTTTGAAGCATCAGGCTGAAGCTCTCGCAGGGGAGTCGAGCTAACAGCTAGGCGGATTGGGGCCAAGACCAAAGTGAATTTCTGTCGTCTTAAAACAACTCGGGTCCCTAAAACCGTGTAGTGGTTAACGTGTCTGCTGTTTTCCACCACCACTTTGCAATTAGATAGTTCTTTACATAGAAGCCTATGGTTATCGAAGACCAGATGGCATGGTTGGTGTGAAAAGCACAGCAAAACAAAATGTTACGTATTACAGGTCAGAGTTAGTGATGACAAAGTAAGTAAATGAAATTGCTGTTTAACCATCTGAATGAAGGAGGGGTCGTTTTAAGGTGGCAGAACTCTTCATTTCTGGTCCCACTGACTAGCCACTAGCACAACCCCCGTTAGTGAAGTTGATTAATAATTTTTTGTGGTTCTTCATTATACACTAAGCAAAAAAAAGCTTTTTACCTTTGCCGACATGTTTCGACGTCTACTGCTGCCTTCGTCAGAGCAACCGCCGGTGTTCGTGGCGTCATTCCCGTTTGTTGCCACCAACGACAGCGCTGACATCAACAATGGCGGTTGCTCTGACGAAGGCAGCAGTAGACGTCAAAACATGTAGGCAAAGGTAACGCTTCTTTTGCTTTGTGTATAACGAAGAACCACAAAAAAAAAAAAAAGAAAAACAGAACAAACCTAACAAAGATGAAGCTGATAATGTTCTGAACTCTTTCTGCTTCAGCTTTACTGAAAACACCAGAGAACATTCACAAACCTAAACTACCCTTTACCAAATATGAACCAGACTCTTATCGGTGCTGAACTCCAAAACTCTAGGTTACCTCGTTGACAGATTTTCTTTGTGCTGGTCACGTACACAACTTAGCAGAAAGTCAGAGCTCAGAGGGTAAAAGGGGACTAGAAAGGGAGTGATTGGGCACGTGCAGGCCATGTCAGCAATCTGAGGGAGCGGGATAATCCCCCACCACCACACCAGTGATACAAACCTGCTCTCCACTCTCATACAGTCCCCTGACCAGTTACAGGACACTGAACACAAAAGAAACTGACCTGCCTCCAGCTCTGCCTGTGTGTGTATTTAGGGGGAGGGGGGTGGTAAAAACACAACACCATTGCTGCCCCCCTTTAACCCAACATGCAGAAGTGGCAGGGCTCCTATTTCTTCCCTAATTTAGCTGCAGATATTTGATGTCACACTATCCCGAGATGTATCAGTCCTCTGAAAGTCCTTGTTTATATGGGCCTATAAATGGAATGCAGCGTGGAGCTCAGACATTAGCCCTGCTCCAGGTAACTAGCTTAATCCTTTTGTCTAAGAGCAGCTTGTAAAAGAGGTCAGTCCAAATAGGAATGTGGTTTTCTGCATGGACAGGAACACATAATGACCTGCCCAGCACCCGTTCTAAGAAACTGCTGTTAAAGCTGACCTGTGTAGCTGTGGTTATGGTAGGAAAATGCATGCAACCAGCTTATCACAAAAGGATGTAGGTTAGTTGTGTCATTGCATAAGGACAATTCAGTGTCTAGTGGACTCTGAACTCCAACAAGCAGATTAAAGTTTCTCTACTGGCTAAAGACGTAAAACACAATAGGTGAACATATGCCTCTTTTAGTGATTGCTAGGTGAGCTTCTCACAAAAACAAGATAACCCCAAGCCAACTAAGCATTAACCATTACACTGCAATAGTTAGTGAATGACTCAACCAGCAGACCTAGATCTCAACAGGCTGACTTTTATGACTCAAATGGTGTCAGACGGAGTCAGTCTCGGCTTCCTGAAGCTGGCCTTGCCACATGCCCATAAATGAAGCTGAAAAAGTAAAAATGATCACATGGACTTCCATTTACAACAACAGACTTCAGACTGAAAACTAAAACCATTGATTTGATTTGAACTTAATTCAGGTTCTTTTTGATCTGAGAAGACTGTAGTTTAGCCCTGAGCCGAACCACGTGAGACACTTGGACTTAAATGGGAACAGCTGTGTTAACAACACTCTAGTCCTACCTCTGCCTATTCAACAAACCATTTGTTTAAACGTTATACAATTCATGTTTTTAATTATTGCAGGTGAAAATGAAAACACTTTAGAATGCAACACCTCAATGGCTTTTAAAATGTTGGAAAATAAGTGAAATCCTCTCACTGAAATCCATCAAGAGTCAACTTCCAAAGCATTTTCCCCTCAGCCCTGCTGTCTAGTGCTACACAAACCTGTTGTTGGCATAACAACTAGGTCAAATATGTGTGTTTGGGTGTTTCTGCACTTGTGGTTTGGAGTTTCAGGAAGCCTGTGCGGCAGAAACGACCTCTGAACTCTCTTTATAAGATCACTGAACACTTCCAGCATCTCAAATTACTGAGGGTTACACCATGCCTTCAGCAAACACATGATCTTAATAACCAAGACTTCTGCAACTCAATTTTAATGGAAGTCTCCTGAACTAACCACCATGCTATAGCAGCTCAAAAGTAGCCTTCAAAGTCAGCTTTCTAAAACAGAACCAATGCTGGTATTGTTGGATCTACAGAAGTCTCATGTTGGAAGGCAAACCACAACTGGAAATGAAGTGGAGCGCCCCCCACCCCCCAACGAGACAAAGCAATGGCTGGGAAAAGGAGGGGTGACTGGGCTGGAGGAGGTGAATGAGTGCACAGGAATTGTTGTCATTCTTGAGCCTGGGCCAACATATAGGACAGCCTTAAAGTTCACACAGCCACGAGACCAAGTATCTAGCACAACAAAGTCTCGTTGGTTCGCAGCTGTAAGTAGGGTTGCAGGGATTAACTGGTTTGATTATTAGCCCTGATTAACCCACTGTAAGGTCGTATCCAACACCGCGTATAAAAAAGATAATAGCGGGACCTGCAGACAAAAACAAAAGTTAAACTGAACGCTCACATGCAGCAGAAGCAGAACCAGTGACAACAACCATCGGGACTGCTCCAATTCCTCCTAGGAAGCAGTTGGTCTCCTGTGTGGGAATATTTAAGATATAATACACATATTCCCACACAGGAGACTTCAACCACTTCCTAGGAGGAAATGGAACAGTCCCAATGGTAGTTGTCACTGGTTCTGCTTCTACTGCGTGCACACACTCAGTTTCACTTTTTTTATTATATAGGCGGCGTTGAAGACATTTTTATGGGGGTTAACTGGGGTTAATAGTCAAACCGGTTAATCCCTGCAACCCTAGATGTAAGGTGACCAAACACCACCTACTGAAGTATTTTCATTCTGGTAAGTTACAGAATGTGTACGTTTTTAATTCATTGTTTCTTTCCTTCAACCACGACATGCACACAACACACACATAGGCTACACACACACACACACATGTAGGCTAACCATCGGCTAACGCAGGCACACTTAAACACAACAACTTCTCCTGCTACACTTTTTCTGTGGGATACACTAACCCAATGCTGTTGTGAATGAATGGGCAGACAAAAATCCAATCTGTATTGTTCATAAGAAAGTTTCAAACAAGCTACAGAAAAAACATTGACAGCACAACTAAAGCTTGCAACTTGGCAAAAGTCAGCACTAGTCTGATACAGCAGTCAAACAAAAAAAAGACCTAACTGCCAACAAGCAGCTTTAGAAACCCCCCCGCCTGCATGTTTCTCATTAGGGAAAACTGCTTATACAAAAGGGAAAACGCCTACATGGCAAATCCAGCAAAAGAGCGGGTGTGACTGACTGCAGTCACTGAACTGTTTGAGAAACTCACTTCTTCCTGGCAACTGTGAGCCTTTACCTTCCTCTTAACTACTGCACAGTGACATACCGTCTCCAGCAAGTAAATGACTCATAACCACCTGAACTGAAAGTGACCAGGCTGGTTTATCCTGGTCATACATGAAGCTGTACCAGCCAAAGGGAACACACCACGTGAGCTCATTTTAGACCCTCTGATGACTAATCTGAGACACGTGAAAGCATCTGACTGCCTCTGTGCTTAAAGATTCAACAACCACAGAGAGCGACATGGCTAGACTGTTCAACCTAGATTTTTTCACATCACACCACCATATGGCCGTTAGCTGGAATTTCCTCCCCCTTTTATAAAACGATCACCTTGCTCCATTTTGGGCAGAGAACAATAAAACTCCAATTTTAACTGGGAAAGCTGGTGTGATTAAACTATTTAGCAAAAAACTAAAAACATACAGCTTTTATTTGTGTGGATTTAAAGTGACAATGTGTAGTTTTTACCATTAATATCTGGAAATACCCATCGAAAGTTTGTTTAAAATGAATTAAATGACGCCCAGTTGTTTAAAAATAATGGCAGCTTCATAACATATAACCATTAAAGTCTGTTTTAAAATACATGAGAGTGAGTCTAAGGCCCTGTCCACACGTAGCCGGAGATCTGCCAAAACGTAGATATTTTTCTACGTTTTGGCCTGTCAACCACACGAAAACGGAGTTTTTTCACACGAAAACGGATCTTTTTAAAAACTCCGGCCAAAGTGAAGATCTGCGTTTTCTCCGTTTTGGGTGTCTGCGTGTGGACAGACAAAACCGGAGTTTTAAGGTCCACAACGTCACTTTCCGCGACAAAAAAATGCTGACATCACGTGTGCGACCTGTGTTTACACTAGCCGACAACATGGATGCCCTCAGAGCTGCGCTCGCTTTTTCAATTGTCCAAGCGCTTTTTGCTCGTTTGTTTTTGCAAGCGGAATTACTGCTCCTTGCGGAAGACCACAGACGAAGGACGAGGTTAAGAACGGGGGAAGTACTGCCGCCTACAGGTTTGGCATGTCCTTAACAACGTATTTATCCGGGTACGTGTGGACAGAGTTTTTTTTTTAAACGAGGTGGTGTGGATGCAAGTTTTTGGAGGGGTGGATATTCGTTTTTAAAGAAACCCGGCTACCTGTAGACTAGGCCTCAGTCTCTGGGCAACACCATATTAGATGCCATGTTTCCTTCTATGGAAGTCCATGAGGACAAAAAGCATCTACTAATTTATGACAAACTGTTACAAAATTGTTACATTAATAAACATTGTTGTTTTACACAGCTCCCTCTTAACTTGCTGCCAGTGGTGAAACGGAGTCTGAGTCTTGTGATGTTGCTGGAGGTTTAACTCCCAGGGATTTTTGACCCTAAAGGCCACCTGTTGGTAAGGTCTTACTTGAACACAAAAATACTGCTTGCTTGCAATGATTCAAGTTATGTACTTCCCCTATGGCAGGGGTGGGGAACCCTGGTCCTCGAGGGCCGGTATCCTGCATGTCTTTGCTTCAACACTTCTGATACAGTGGTTGGTTCACCTGTTCTGCAGCTCATCAGACTCTGCTAAAGCCTGTTAATCACCTGCTGATTGAAATCAGGTGTGATGATGCAGGGTTGAAACTAAAATATGCTGGATAGCGGCCCTCGATGGACCAGGGTTCCCCGCCCCTGCCCTATTGCCTGGGAAAATACACACTGCCACTTTAATGGCACACTTGGCAGTCTTGCTTGTTTTTAGCACCCTCAAGTGTCCATTATTATTTATCTGATGTTAAACCGAAAACAAAATTATCTCCTCGCTGTGAGTCCCTCTTTTTAAAATCCTTAAACAGCTGAAATGTCTCCTCAGCCTTCATTAGTGTCTACAGGAGCAGTTCCTCACTAAATTAAACTAACACTGAAGTTGTCAGCCACAAAGGGCGGTAGGGATCTGAATGACATTTCGTTAACTATGTAAAGGGTCGTTTTAGCACATACTGGCTCAAGAAAACTATTTAAAAACATGAATCCCTTCAACATTTGGTTGTCCACGTGTGCCTTTTGATCCTCAGGTTCTAACTAATTTCTAGATTTTGCAAATCAATAAGTAAAAAGGTAATTGAAAAATGAACCAACTATTATATATTTCTTTGCTGCATGCCCATAAAACAGGCTTTGATCAAAAACGTCATTGTCTGCATTAACAGCATGTAAAAACCCATACTGAACTGGTTCTGTTGTAATCATGAACCAATTAATTTTTTCATCCTAATGCAAAGAATATATCTAATCTTCCTCAATGTTAAGCAACATCACTAATAAACTCATAAAACAACAAAAAAAGTTATCCGGGTTTGGTTTTCCAGTCATATTCCTCCTGAGAACGGAAACAGAGGCGTTACATGAAGGAACCACATCCTGTCTTGTTTACTTCCTGCATTGAAAAACTGCATCACCCAGGAGAGCACCACATTACCAGGCAATAAACATCTCATGTCAGTGTAACAAAACACTTGCCTCAGAGCACAAAATCTGGAACAACGGAATATACAACATTATGAGCAATCACAAAACCTTATAAATATTTAAATTCTTAAACTCAATAACATAACTGCAACAGCAGTAGCTTAAGTAATAGCCCTACCTTGTGAGAGTAGTGAGGATCCATGATGCGGGCCAACCCAAAGTCCCCAATCTTAAGTACTAGGTCCTCTGTGTTAACAAACAGGTTGGCAGGCTTGAGGTCACGGTGCAGCACATTGGCAGAGTGGATGTACTTTAGGCCCCTTAGGAGTTGGTACATGAAGAGCCTGGCGTGGCCTTCAGACATAGGGCCTCGCTCCAGCAGCTGACAGAGGTCTGTCTCCATGTACTCCTGTACAATGTAGACAGAGTTTACCTCTGTCAGCGATGCCACATCTTCTGTTAGCCTGCGACCACAGGGGCCTAGGGTCTCAAACACCTGAAAAAGTCAACACCAGACATTACAGCAAATGTTCAAAGTAAAAAGTAAGTCAACTCATTTTGTTTGATAAACCACCAGAAGCTCCTACCTTGACAATGTTGTCGTGATCAAGTCGTCGAATTATCTTGATTTCCCGCAGGGCATGCTTGACACTCTGGGGATCAGTCAAGATAATTTTCTTCACAGCTACACGCTTGTCACAGTCAGTGTCGACCGCTGAAAACACCAGGCCGTTTCCTCCATAGCCCAGAGGCTTCAAGTCCATGTAGCGAGATCCCAGGTCAAAGCCATGGATATTCATCAATGACTCAAACTTTTCTGCCATGATGATGTTTTTTAGGCTTTAAGCTATTTTCAAGTTTATTTTCAGGCCTTTTACAAGCCCAACTTTAACACCTAAAGAGGAATTTGTTAAAAAAAATTCCCCCTTTCCTTCAAAGGATGATCCAACTAACCCCTGTACAGATGACTACCCAGTCCCCCTGGTTAGCCGTCAATGTCAGATGTGGGGCACTAATGTGAAATCATACGTTCCCTCCATGTTCAGTAGGAAAAATATTTAATATAACAAATTATTTTAACAGCTCCAAGTAAACTAGTGTTTATAAACTATATTGGAATGAAAATTCCAGGCCAATTGGAAGGGAGTAAAAAAAAAAAAAGCACTGGGATTAGGTTAAACTAGAAAGATGTAGTCACATCCTCACAGTGCAAATACATTCAGTGTACGACTGGTCCTGAGTAGCTTCATATGAAATGTGCCTTATTGCACAAATATTCTTTTTCTTAAATTTCTTCACCTGATCTATAAATTTGAAATGAATCTTGTTCAAAAAAATCTTTCACCCTCAATGATCAGGTGGCTCAAGCTCACCACAATCACAATCAAAGCTATCCTCCATTTTACTTGGATATAACCTGAAAAGAGAAAAACAAAATACTGATTAGAATACAAAGAAACTAGAAAATGGGTGTTCGTGTAAATTTCCTACAAAACGTAATCAAACGTCCCCTTTTGTACGTTAACATGTCATTAGGGACTCCAAAACCGCTTTCGCTTTAACCCCGTGTCCTAGAGACATTTGCCCCGCCCCTAACCGGTAAAAGCGCTTGCTAGTCCGGTTTCTGGACATCGATTAATTCCAGAGAAAATACAAGTCAGAATAATAAAATGTACGACAACGTAGGAAAACAGCACATCAATGACAGATGACATATTTTATGCCGAGCTTATACCGCTCGTTTTGGCCTTTTCGAGTGAAACCCTGGCGGAAAAAAACCGACAAGCAAAGAGACAAGCCGCTCGCACAGCGGCTGTAGACTCGGTATCAATTTTATCACAAACACAGCCAGTGGCACACACATAAAATACATTATAAAAATAACACGTTAAAGTCTAGACATCGTGTATTTAATAAATGTCAAGTATAAAGGTTAAACAGAAACCCGGCAATCGCGCGAACAAAGGAGTCCCTGTTGGCGGAGGGTTTTGACTACGTGGTATAGCTCTCTCGGCGCTACACTACACAAAGCCGACGGCGGCTAAAAGGCTCAAAACGAGCATAAAACGGCAGTGAAATTACATCATTCGTAAGCAATAATGACGATAATCAATGTGTGTGAAATTACTTACAGTCCTTATTCGTCGCATTAGTTAGGTTATTGTGTAAATCAAACCCAGACGAGGTTTGACTGCGCTTCGCTCCCCGACCTCTGCGGATCTACTGCAATCGCCATTATGCTGGCTATGAAAGGAAACGGTCACGTCAGAATGCTACATTCAATGACTATCGGAATTGTTCCTACTACAGCGAGAGAACGCTGAAGCTACGTCAAACCATTTATTTTAGATTGCTTAATCACACCGAACTGAATTAGAACCATAGACTGTACATACATTAGAACATGTCACAATAAATAAAAAATAATAATTGAAATAACAAAAATCATCCAAATAAATTTGTGAATATTTATTTCTCATATGTTAAAAAAGGTGGGCTTATTTACCATGGAACACTGCAAACTACGCTGCTCTTTTTTTTATTAAATTCAATATTTTGTTCTTTTTTTTTTGTAGTCCAGGAAATACAAGTATTCCTTTGACATATTCCATAAGGCTTCCATTAATGCTTACTGTATTTTCAGTATTATATAACCGATATTAGTAACATAAAATGCAAACTAAACCCTCCTAATTTGACGCAAAATTTCGCAGCACATTTTCACGGGTTCCTTGTACTGTTAAAACTCTATCAGACGCAGAAAGGCGTGAAAACTCGGAGTTTCAAGCAGTACGTGAATGCAGCAGAAGTCATTCAAAACGTTAGTTAATTTTGGAGATCACGCCACAGCTGTAGATTAAAAATAATCTATGATGGTTGCAGGTTCATGGATGCAATAAATGCAAAACAGGGAAATCGACTGTCTTTGTACATAATCGGTTAATTTTAGACACACACACACACACACACACACACACACACACACACACACACACACACACACACACACACACACACACACACACACAAATAAACATGATGTGTATTTTATGGTCAATGTCAGGAACAATGAAGCAAAATGAAAAAGTTACAAAGAGCTTCTTATGTGTAGAAATAGATTAAAAAAAAGACAGAAGATCATAAAAAGAAAGAAGGTCTTGGTAATGCAATTTTTTTTTTAAAAGCTGCAGGCAGAAATGGCATTTGTCAATATATTTAATTGAAAGTCCTACCATTTTAAAACATAAATACACACTATAGAAAAGCCTTTCACTCTCATTTGTTTTGGTTATGCAATTTGTTAAACCATTTGTTATAACATACTGTTGACTTGTTTTCAGCCTTTAAGCTGTTTTCAGCATTGCTCCAGAGAATAAGCTCTTTGTTTTTGTTTTTGAAATGAATTAATGCTGTTTTTAGATTAGATTGCATTAGGCTTGTTCTGTTAGTGAGAAAATCCTCTGGCCGGGTCGCTCATTGCAGTTTGCGGATTTAGAGATTCCATTTGGCATAGAGATGAGCTGTGCAAATTCATCTTCTTGTGGTCCCCTTTACGCACCCTGCGCAAAAAAGGATTAAAACAAGATACAAATGAAGGAACTAATCTGTGTTCATATTTCATTCAGAATGTGGCTGGTGTCCTGAACCGCCTAGTCCAGACACATGGATGCTGTGAATGGATGAGCAGAGGGGGCGGGCGGGCTTACAGGCAGCGTCACAGCCGCAGCAGCCTGCATCAGCATCCACAGGCACACCATGTGAGGATCCATGTGTTTGAGAATGCAGATGCCTCCTACAGGTTGGGATGGGCTAAGGGATGGAGAAACAGCATGCCTGCCGAATGTGCTGCGACCAGAATGGAGCACGTCTGTCCCGATGGTAACAGGAGACGCTAAAATGTTTATAGCAACCTTTTTAGATGCAAGATATTTGAAAAGGACGTTTCATAAGACGTAGGCCAAAGTCATGTAAGGCTGTTAAGGGTTGATTTTCTTCAGAAACCTAGAAGGGCCATGAATTCAACACACTTCATTTTATAGTAATACCCTTGCATTGTGCACGATGCAACATAACGGTTGCTTAAAATCGTTCAGATATATATTGTTTATATTTCTCAGTAAAGTTTTGTTGTAAATGCTTCTGTAATTTAACATACTGTTTGTTTTATGTCTTTATTTGGTGTGTCAGAGGTCCACAGCAGCTTGTCACTTCTGTAAGATTTATTTCTGATGACACAAAAACCAGAGTCGGGATGTTCTGACATGATTCAACATGATTAATTTCTAATGACATTGGGCCAATTTTCACAAGACTATCTGAGTGTGCGATAAAAGCCATAATGATTATTGAGAATCAGATTACCAGGATCTCCTGCCCCGTGAGCGCCCTTTGACCCGATCGTGCAGTAGGTGCATGATGAAGGCTGTATGTCATAATTTCTGACTTACACAAGACAATCCCGTCTCTTACTGGATTGTTTTGGGTATGACATAAAACAATTTTCCTTTAAGCATTAACATTGTGTCCCCACCAGCATCACTCCTGTCTGTTCTGCTGGCCTATCTTGTTACATCATGAGACAAACAGTTGACATCGAGTCCTAAGCACATCTGACTAAGAGACATCAATTTTTGCTGTGCACCAAGGACACTTGGCCAGAATCAGTGAACCAAAACATTTGCAATCAAAAAGTTTTGATTTTAAGGCCAAGGATATCAGGTGTTGACCTGCTGCACAAACTTTTGCAGGACAAGTCATTTCCTTTGTTACACAAGATCCATCACCCACCTTGACATTTAACTTTTTTTAGTAATTCCAAGCAAAAGCTGGGGGGAAACCCCCTCAAACATCATTCATATTCATGTTTACTTGACTATAATACATAATATATAGTCTTGTCACTTACCAAGGTTGAAATTCTCCTCTGATGAATAAAATGCCATCATAAACAAAAGTTATTATTCCACTCAAGAGAATTATTCCTGCATCCAAAAAGTTAGTCCCAGCAAAAAACATAAGTGCAGTGCTGATTGTATTCTCGGAGCCTTGGCAGTGCGTTATCCTGCTCTATGTACCTCTATTTGTGAGGTGGAGCTCCATGAAAAGTTAATATAGGCCAGACCAGAGAGGGGAGGAGACTGCTCTGTGTTTGGCCTGGCCTTTCACTGTGTCACACCAACAAGAGTCCATCACCACCACCTCTCCCTCACACTGCTCATCTCTCACTTCTTAGCCTTTCTTTCATCAAAATCTTTCTTTTTTTTTAGCTCTGTCCTCTGGAGCTTTGTCTAATAAGAAAAAGGAAAACATTTCTGCAGCCTGTGCTGAAGTGATCATATGTGCATTCATTCACAAAACACTCTTAATTATCTCATTTCTTTCATTTTTTTGAAACCAGATAAAATTCCCACTTGCATTTTCATCTATGCACTTTATCATAAGCATGCATACACTGAGGTTGGGCTTTACAAGTGCTTGACAACACTCACTGTTATTTTAAATTAATTTAAGTCATGTGCACATTTGATATCTTGGTCTGTTAAACAAATTTTGGGTTATATTTGTGTATTAAAAGGAATCATAATCTGCAGTATGTCTGCAGACAATGATACGTCTTCTAAAAATGGAGTCTTTATGCTTTACTGCTCTCTTTAATGTTCACTAGAACTGTAGCAACAGGGGGTTCATAAAGTTGTGAAATTGAAAATGCCAGTGCACAGTTATTTCCTGCTTTTCCCCCATTTGCTCCATAAATCAAAGTCTTCTCTTTAAAACCAACATGTTTACACTCAGATCTGCTGTCTTCTGGCCATATTCTGGCCCTCTGCAGTCCTATTCAGTCTGGATCAGCTAGTCATGTCCTGGCATATTTCCCCACCAGCATGTTTGATCCACGAGGACGTGTGTGTTTGTACATTTGTTTGACATCTAAACTAGGCTGACGTGTGACCAAAATATTTGGATGGATGTGTGAGGATAGGAGGGCAAGTTCTTCAGTTTGATTAGCTTTTCCTACAGCTTGTCATTTTTATTAAATGCTGCCTTCAAAGAAATCGATCTGTGGTGTAGTGAGTGTAAATGTGTTTGACTGCAATTATTTGTTATACTAATATAAATCCTTTTGTTAAATGCCATTAGTGAATTAATCATTGATTACCCAGTGTTCAGTAAAAGGATCCTTACGTAACATCTTACTGAAATCTGCTCCCAAATCAGTAATTAGAGTGGCCAGTGCTGATCTCTCCTGCTTCCTCTGTTTTCCTCTCACTGTCCGATGTTGTGTAACATTCTGTCTCGCTGAACCTCAAGTCAAAGGGCAAAAAAATAAAACTGAAAACTGAGCAGGAATTCTTGCCCCCGATGTAAACCATAGGGGCAATGTTATCTACCCTCCTCACCTTGTTGATGTCAGACACTACGCAGCTTTGGTATGAATGTTGTGAAAGACACCCATAAAGAGGGTGATGATACCCATTCCTCCCTGTGATTGAGTTACAGGGGACAAACATGTTTTTGTAATGAGATTCCTTTGCAGTTCAATGGACTGCTTGCATAGGTAATAACTCACATGACTTTCTTCAATGGAATTGATTGCTGTCATGTGCCCTTTTCTCCTATTTGATTAGTTCACTATAAGTGATACCACTTTCAAAGAAAGTCTCTCTTCATCCTCATTAAAAACACATCTAAGCTATTTGCAATGCACTTTAGGAGAAAAGTTATAAACAGGTACTATATATTACTCGTTGTAGATAGCCTTCTGAAAGGCCTCAGTTCGGAGAAATAGTCTATTGGGCCATTCCCATCTGTACCGTGTCGGCCCGGGCCGGGTAGCCCCAGTCGGCCCCAGCCTGGCCCGGTTGATTCCACACATCCTTGTCTTAAGCCCATGTGGGCTGATTCTACCCACCAATCAGAGGCTTGCTCTAATGGAAGGTGTGAATTTGTTGTCAACAGTGGGTGTGTTGGCCCTGGTCGGCCTGAAGCAGACCCCCTCGAGAAGAGGGCTGAGAATGAGCCTTGGTTGGCCCGGAAAAATACCAGGCCACCCAGATATGTAAACAACCTACGCTACCCGGCCCGGGCCGACCCGGTACAGATGGGAATGGCCCACATCTCTGGTAGGACTGCTGAGCTAATGACTAAACTGTGCACAACCAACCCCAAAGTGTGTTGCTCCTGTCTTAAAACAGCTCAGATCTATACATTTTTACAACTTTTCACACAAAAATGTTTTAATTTAACTTTTACAAAGCTGGAAGACCTTATGTTGATATTTAATCACAAATATTCAGAAATCCCTGCTTGACTTGATCCTTGGATGAACTGGAAGTGATGCATTTAGCTGCTTGTGGTGATTATATTTAGACCTGTAAAGAAACATTTAATGTGAAATTAAAGGCAGAGTAAAAGTTTGTTTGTAATGTTTGCATAAACTGCTAAAATTGACTAAATTCCCCAAAATGTTGGCAACTGGAATTGTTTTACTGTGTCAAAATTAAACTTTGATCAGTCCTGACATAAATGCAATATCAGTACTGGGTTAGAGAGTAATTATTTCTAATGTGAAACTTTAAACAGAGTAAAAATAATTTCAACTGGCAACGTGCATCACGTTTTACCTTTTTGCTTCCTCTGACATCAACACTGATGGTGTCAATGCACTTCTGGTCAATGTAGGGTCATTTAAGTTCAACATTATTTGACATTGATGACACATTCAAAAATAAATGGCACATATAAAATACGGGCTGATATTTCTGCTCATATTCCTAGGGACCTTGAAATAATTTGTTTTCATAAAAACAAAAAAAGTGGTGCACACAGACCTTATGTGCCTTTTCGCTCTAAGGGACGTGTCAGTTGGCTGTGGTGGTTTGGTTATGCAATGCAAAACTCTGTCACCACTGACCTGGAAACAGCTTGTTGGTTATTGAATGTTTACTTTGATCCTGAACTGGAATAAATGCATCTAATATATGTGGAAAGTCTGAAGTAATAGGTTTACCAGTTACACGAATGAATGCAAATCACCTCTTTTAGAAAATTTATCTAAAGACGTGTTTGTTTTGTTTGCTGATCAGAGTTCAACATAAATGCTGACCTCATTTATTTACCTGTGCATTTATGGCACAATACAAAAAAATCCAGATGAATGACCCAAAGTGCCACAACTTTGCATCAGAGTGAATTTTGAAAACAGATGATGAGAGAGGAGAGGACCATCTGCCTTTGCTCTGCTCTGCTCACACCATGTGTGTGTGTGTGTGTGTGTGTGTGTGTGTGTGTGTGCATGCGCTCGTGTGTATGTATGTGTGCATGCTTGTGAGTGTGTGTGCGCGCGTGCATGGGCATGTGTGTCTACAAGTGTGTGTGAGTGTGTGCACATGCATGTGTGCCTGCAAGTGTGTGTGTGTGTGTGTGTGTGTGTGTGTGTGCTTGTATGCAAGTGTGTATGAGTGCATATGAGTGTGTCTGTGTGTGTGTAGGACAGAGTAAAGCACTTTTGATGAGAACACAGGTGCATGCGATAGGCAGCATATTTGACAAGATTTTAGTGGAAAAAATAGGAAGAGTGTGTGGAATAAAACTCTAATATAACATAAAAAGTAAAATTGATGAATTAATCATACACTGAAGACTTTATAATGTCAAACTTTTCTCTCTTTTTTGTTACAAATTTTTTTGTTTTGGTCATCAGCTGGACAAAGCAGGCAGCCAGGATGTGGTAAAAAAATCCAATTTATTTTCTTGACAAAGAAAAACAAACAGTAAAAGAATCATAATAAAAGTGTATTTTTTGTGCTGGTTTATTATAGTTATGGTACTAATTATAAAAAATGTATTTTTAATATGAATTTGTGTTTTTACAATAAATCTTTTTTCCTTTAGTTTTTTGATTATGTTGACATGCTTTTACATAACCATGAGTTTAACCATTCAATACTACTTCATCGTTGTCCTGTCTGGACACTCCACTTCCTGAAGGACAGTGTGATGTAACCTGTTTTGGTTGTTCTCTTCCCTGAGATAGACGACAAAACATAAATTCTGAAGGTGTTCTGAAAATGAATTCCTAAACGATTTGGCAGGTACACTGTGTGTGTGTGTGTGTGTGTGTGTGTGTGTGTGTGTGTGTGTGTGTGTGTGTGTGTGTGTGTGTGTGTGTGTGTGAGATCTGATTATGGGGTAAAGAGATAAAACTGGTGGTTTGGTGGTGGTGATGTAAGAAGATCAGAGGCTTTGGAATCTGGTGGTTTCTTAAGCGCTCTGATGCAGAGAGACCTTTCACTGTTAGCAGAAACTGTGTTTAAATCTCATTAGCAGGTTAAGATGGTGAACATTTTATGAACGTTACTGTTCTCGCACAAGTCTTGTCTCCGCAATCTGTTGACTCTGAGTCCTTGAATGACGTCAAATGAATTGATTTGTCGTGTGTAAAATGTTGCGGGCGGTGGATTGAGCAACGCGGTTTCAAGCAAGTGTTACAATAGAGAGGCTGTGTAATAAAAAAACGTTCAGTTCAAAGTAAGTCTCTTCCAAAATACTCGTTGACACGCTTGAGCGGAATAGTTTTACAGCAATATAATCATAAAGATTTGAAGAGGTCAAAGTTAAAAGCTGCCCATCACTTATTTTCTATTATAAAGACAACGCAGACTGACTGAGGTCTGGAAGAGATCATAAAACTCAAATAATCACAGCTGGAACACACTCAACACACTAAACAAATGAGTATGACGCATTTAGAGTCTGAGAAATAAATGAGCCAAGATTGATGGCTGTTGTATGCAACACCTTGAGTTTAAGAGCTGTGTATTATCTCTGCAGCCCAAGCGTGTGGCAATATTACTGCTGCACTTACAGGATCGTACAAGGTCATCATGCTCATAATATTTGGGTTCTAAATAAGATCAAAGACATCTTTTGTCATTCATACAAGCACTTGAATTTCTTCGCATTCACACTGCCTGCTTTAGACTTCCTCTGACTAATTTCTGCGTGTTGTTGGGCCTGCATTAGGTTGCTTTGAACACACGTTGCAACAACAAACTGCAAATCATCAGCCGTCGTTGAAAGATGGGAGATAAC